ATTGCTCGCATTCATTGTTATATATTTCTAGCTAGGAAGAGAAAGTGGGTTTGAATTAATCTCCTGAGATAACATTGTTGGGGGAACTTTCATTTTCTATGAAAGTGCATGAAGAAGAGATTCGTAGGTCGATATCACCAAAAGATATCGGCTGAATCCCGTTGTACTTCAGCCGTTTGGCTTTTATACGACGCTCAGGTTGACGCAGTCCAAGATACCTCCCTCGTTTCGAGTGAAAACGGGCTGAGCTTTCGTCCATCATATGATGCGCATCATCCGAGCTGGAACTCATTCTTGTAAATATCTCACGTTAACACTATGGCAAGAACACTATCCGGCTCTATCTTATCTCTTATATAGATTCAATTAAGCAAAATAAAATTAAAAAACCCAGATATACAGAGAATGGTTTCGATACCGGTGCTGCTACTTATGTTCGAGTTTGTGTGCATGTGTGTGCTAACGTCTATACGCAATACCGGTCCTAAATCAGAGTGATCAAAAGGCTTATGTCAGGCTTTGATCGTCGAGGCTTAATGACTCGAGAAAAAGCCATGACTGAGATTGCGTAAGTCCGTAAGCAACTATTGTTGAGATGATGAGATGTAAGCTTGTAGGCATGTAAGTCAAGCTGTGAAGCCACTTGTCCTAACCTTTCAGTCTAAGGTCATCAACGTTTAACCACTCAAGCAAAGGCATGACTATTTCTAGTGTTTTATTGTGATTATGTCTAGGTTAATTTTACTATTATTTAGATTGATTATGTTTGAAAGCTTAAATGAATCCCTTTTTTGTGTTATTAGTTTTTTTATTTGCTTAAATACGCACTTGGAAAACAACTACATTTAATCTGTCTCGAGATCTTTGGCTTTCAGATAATCTGCAATTAATTGCAAAAGTTATTGTAATGACTGACCTATTTGCTTATGGTGGTAAGGTTTAAATTAAATAAATTTTTTTATTAAGATATGATGGTCAACTACTAAGTCTGTTTGTTACAGTTGAGTTATGGGACAATTAGGGCATTACTAGTATCGATTTTTAACTTCAACCATCGGATATCAATTCCTACACGACCATACGCTTCTAAACTCCTAATTTTGACTATTATTACGACCACTCTGAGTCTTTGACAAACAATGTCCCTCTTTTTTATACATTACCATTATAAAAATGGGTAATTGTGATTCTTAAGATTATAGCGTTTGCCTACGAATCTGTCGTCACTGGTGCTGATGAGGCCTAGGCTAAATCGAAATCCTGATGGGATAAAATGTTGCTTATGTTTCTTCAACAAAGACTCGATATTTTCCCTAATTTATCACGATAAATCATTTATCATCAATCCAATTAACATCGTCCAGGATATGCTTTCAGTTCTATATTAGATTTAGTTCATGAGCACGTTACTCTTAGGAAAGTTTAAACTCAACTGATAAACGACGAATTAATATGATTCAACCTCAATACGCCATTTATCTCGAACATACAATCAGAGACTGGGTTAATCCTAATGGATAGCCCACCGCTTCGGATTAATTATTGTTTCTAAAATATTTTTAGAAGATCGGCAACTACAATGTATATTAAAGAGTGATCTTCGTTTCAGATAGAAATTACACGAATTTGCTAAATGGAACAATGTTCTTATATCTCAGTCAGCTTCAAATATTACATTTTACATTTTTATAAATAAAGGCAGTGAGAGAAATGACTGGTTTGACTCGTATTCATACGCTCGATAGATTAACCAAACTATCAGATATCAACATATTCCTTAAGAAATTTTGCTTCTATGTCATTATTATCCTTTAAGCACTATATACTTTGTTCTTATATTTTCTCATTATATATATTTTGTTGAGCGTCCTCATATAAATTCTCATGTTAACTTTTTCCCCTTTTACATCAGAGCGCAGCGCTTGGCACATCAGAGATTAATCCGTCGTGCATCGCGTATTGAATGGACACGTGTATTGCTTGGCCGAATCCCCACTCCTGCCGTTTCCAGTACAACCACACTTCAGACTGGACTTGCTTCCCTCCAGGTAGTTGCACACCTACCTGGGGTTGCCAGGCGTGATTCTGCAGAAAGTGACTCTGTGAAGACGACTTCATCAGTAAATTTAAATGTGTCGTTTTGTATGTCCTATATAAAATATTCTGTTTTTCTAATTCTGTCTATTATTCCTTTATTAAAATTTGCCTCAAGCCTTTTGATACTTTTATTACAACCAATTTAATTTCCTCAAATCCACTCTATAACCACATAGTATTCAACTATAAAATATGATAAATTATCCATTGTCCTGCTGTACGCCATTAGCTATCATTTATGTTTTCCCACATTCACTTTTTCATCACGTTCATTTCTTCTACACAATAGTGAATATGTTATCATCAACTTGGGTGATTTTTTACCTAAATCAAGGTAAGGAGCCTTAGTGTTTTTTCGTATTATTATGGGTCAATGCATGAACAAAATATGTTTTGAAGACACCTTTAATGACTAGAAGCTGTACTTACCCTATTTCGCATTAGGTGTGAAGGATTATAATTGAATTTTTTCATGGTATAAGTAAACCTCACAATCCAATTGAATTTTATTTAGTTTAGCTTCCCAAAAACTATTCTCAATACAGGTGGACTGGAGTTTCGACTTTACCTGATTTTCATCAGCATCCCCAATTTAAATCGAACCCGAGTAGTTCAGTATGTCATTCCGATATGTTACTACTGCGCTACGCAAGTGCCAATCTGCCGCAAGTCAGACCTCTCCTATACCGCATTTTATAGTAGGGTTGTCGATGCAATAAATATGTATTTTCCATTACAATAAACTACATTACATATGCTTCGAATAAAAAGGTCTAGAAATTACATTCAATGCGGATTTTGTTCACGCAATTTTGCATAAGTTGATGAAAAACTCATTTTAAGATTTTCCCACAATGAAATGAATAGACCTCGGGATGCTATTAATTTTACCTGGCCTTGTTTCCTAAAAGTTATTCTCATCAGGATTTGACTGCAGATTTAATCTCTCCTGGGCCTTATCACCCCCCCAATTAATGATTCTTTGATATAACTTTTCATTCCGAAGGAAAATTTGATTCGAAGTGATTCGAGGAGTGGCGCCACAATAAACCAAAGGAGGACTTCTTTTAAGAGCTGACTGTTGGATTGTTCAAAGAAGTCTCGGTCTCATTGTTGTTCAACTCCTTTGAATTCATGCAGAGCTTTCACCTATTATGTAACAGTCATCGTCAGAACGAGAAGTCATATTCTATCTTGAATGCCACATTTGCCCTGTGACATCCTAGCATCCTTAGCTGTTTAATGGAACGGTAATATTGTTACGATACTCACGACCCAATATCGGGTATCTTTTAGGTGTAGATTAGACCTAGACGCAGTCCAAACTACGCTTCACTCTAAATGAACTGGCCATTTGGAAATAAGTTAAGTGAACTGCCATGATATCTTAAGGCCTACTTATCTTATTGTTGGAAATCTCAAATATCAGTCCTTAAATTACCTTAAGCGACCTGGTATGACAACGTTCTTTTTCGAAAATTGCTCATAACCTTAACAGATGTTTGGATCCATAACCATTTTAGATCGTTTTGTGTTTGGATAATATCTTATATATGATTCAACAAGTCCTCTCTATATTTACATTACCACATAAGCACTAACCTTGTAGAAGGAGGATTCGAAATTTTCTAAAAGGATTTAAATCTACGAAAGGTGTTGGTATCTCTTTATGCAATTTTCTGCTATACCTCTTTCTCAGCGATCTACCTAACTTTTTCGAAAGCTGATAGGTAGACAAAATCATCTTTCAATTTTACTTGTGAATAATGAAAGGCGATTATCTATTAATCTTAGTGGTTGATTGTTTTTAAATATAATATTCAAATTTCCTGCTCCCGGTTATTTAAGTCTGCTAGCTTCAGACGCTTGGATTAATAGACAATTATATACGAAGATAAGTTGGGTTTCGAGAAATCTCTTGTTTAATAATTGTTGAGCTTGCTTCCATTTCGAATGAAAGTGTTGAGTGAAGAGATTCGAAGGTCGGTTTCACCAGAAGACGACGGCGAATTCCTCCTGACCAGCTGTCGATTGGTTTTACTGGAAGATACATGCGGCCGCTGTTTCCGAGGTAATCTCCTTTGATTTCGGTGAAAAGGTGCTAAGCTTTCGTCCGTCATATGACGAACATCACAGAGAAACGTATCATCGTCACAGCAAAATTCAAGCTAACGAGTCAACGATTTTTCTTGATTGAGACTTTCATTTCGATGGAACGGCTGACAAATTTATTCCTGGCAAATAATTATCCATTGGGCCTTATTAAGAATACTATCTCTTTACTGAGGCATGCATTTTCAGACGGGGACCATTTCGTCAAAGATAGACAAGCTGGGACTTTTTATGTCCTTGTTTAAAAATAGATAGGCGAATTAATAAGGAAGTGGGGGATAAAATAAGTGTTTAAAGAAAACCTTACTTTTTTCTGTTATGCCATCATTTAGAAGAAAAATACGACTCATTATCGAGATCCCGCTGCTACAAGATTGTTTGCTCATGTGGTCGATCATATGTTTGTTAGACATGCCGATCTATTCGACAATGATTGGGGAAACTCACAAATGTTTGTAAAGGAAGCTGGGTCCAACAGTCAGAGGTAGCCGAGCACATGGTAGAAACTGGACATGAGATAGAATGTTCTCAAACCAGTAGGTTTGCTGCGGTTAAAAGAAAGATAAGAGAGGCTATTGAAATTAATAGATTATGAAATACGTTGAATGTAAGGGACGGTGGTAGAAAGTTTAGTCGGAACTACTTATGCTTGATAGATTGAAGCAGACAGAGGGTGTTGAACCCCATCCAAAAGAAGGTGACGAGAATAAAGATAATTAAAAAAACCATTCTATATCGATATATGTTTTTAAATTCTCTTCTGCCTAAATGAGAGAGGTTAGATAGAGCTGGACAGTATTCTTATGTTAGTGTTAACTTACGAATTTTACAAGAATGAGTCTCAGTTCTGATGATGGACGAAAGCTCAGCCCGTTTTTACCAGAAAAGAGGAAGGAGGTTTTGTGGGCTGCATCAATATCAACGTCGCATAAAAGCCAAATGGCTGCAGTACAACGGGATTTGATCGTCCTCTTCTGGTGAGATCGACCTTTGCATCTCTTCTTCATAACTTTCATACGAAATTAAAGTTTTACCAATACATTGAATTAGTTTTCACATATTTGCATTCATAAACGTATTGCTTATAAACAATCATTTGTGCATACTTTATTTCACCTTTAGGTTAGAAAGGTCGTCTGACCAATTAAGCTGAAACCTGAAAGGTCCATTTTTCTTTATTATCCATTCACTGCTATGAAGACTTTTTGAGCCCATATTTACCTCTGGCACTAAATATGTCTCCCTCCTTCGTGAATATTATAAATGGTTATATTTTATTTTAGCTTTCTTTTTTAAATTCTCTTATATTTTTCTCGGTTTGGTATTAAACTCTCAAACCTGCGCTTTTATCTCCCCTCAAACTCATTAGGCCTGTTCTTCGACTCACGACCTAACTCTTCGTCAACTTATCTCTGTGCCCACTGGAAAGGGCCCACCTACTCTCTTGCGCATCCATCCCTACCTCGATGAGATGGTCCTCATTAATTCTTCAGGCTGGTCTGTTTGGGCTCTCGCAGACTGCCGCCAGTTAGCTCCATATTCTCGCGCTTCAGCTATTAGTTCCCTCATCACTTCCAGTGGCAATCGCCGCCGCAGGGGTCTAGTTAGCTCTCGCACGAATGGCACCTTCGATGAATATGGAATGAAGGAAGAGGATGTTGAAGGGGCTTCGTGGATGGCGTCGGAAGGCGATGAAAGTGCTTGTAATTACACTGAAGAGGCTCGTAAGTATCATACATTCTCATGGGAGCAGGGGAAAGTTAGTGTGATCTGATCTTGTCTCGTGTTGTTGCGCTTTTCCTGATCCACTTATATTCGTGTGCTTTTGCTGGTTACTATTAAATTTTTAATTTTATTTAAATTCCTCGCTGAATACCTTTGATTGCGTAGAATATACTGTTCTAAAACCACTCATGCGTGTTTTAAAGAATCTCATAAGATATGATTGATGTGAGGATTTTTATTTCGCATGGGACTAATCCTTCTTAACTTTAAAGTCACTAATCATGTCGAGACCACACAAGAAATTAAAAATAGTTGGTTTCGTTATTTTATCTTGCAGCCTGAACTCATAATAAATCCCCACACCAAGATTAATGTGTACAAGACTACTATTCCCTTCAACATGCCCTAAAGTGCGAAAAACTGCTTTGTAAACGACTTTTCTGCTATCTTGCTCTATTTGTTAAACATACATCATTGTGTGGCCATGTCAACTACCACCATCCAGACAGGAGGCACTTAATCCAGGCTTTTGGTTCCTTTCCCACTTCTATAATTCGAGGACATATATTACAGCCAAATTATGCTTCGACATACTAATTGGGTCTAATTTTAGCCAGTTTCTCATACTTGCAATGCTTTGTTAGCTAAACTAACGAAGATAAGACACGCGGCAACTTTAAGATTTGCCTACTACTATTTTATTATTTGTGCTCCACCTTATGATAAACTACTTTCAATTTGTATGGGCTTTCTGTATTGCTTTCCTAAATTCTGTTTAATAAGATACCACTTCATTTATCTTGGTGTCACGATATCCATAATTTTTTAGAAAATTTTTGATGAATTTGAATTGCTGTTTTTCTTATTGGATTTGTCTTAAAGACGGGCTAGCAAGACTTGCCACAAGCTCTAGCAAGTGATGCGCTTTTCCTACAAACGAATTGCTATATTTGGCGACTACTCTAAATTGCCAACTGCACATCTTTGGGATTCACCGTATCGCCTAAGTAATACCTCCAAGAGATTTATTTTAATCGATGCCCTTACGTCACTGCATAATTAGCTTTTTGGAGTAATAATTTAACCCTGAATAGAAAGAATATGTACTGCGGGCCAATAACTCTCTTGCTAACTTGCCAACTTTTATTTTTGAGTAAGAATTTAGTCGTATTTATAACGAAAATAACTTATATTTTGGTTATCAATGGAATTTCTTCTCAGACATCCATTCTAAATGAAAAGGAAAGTGTATTTTATTTTGATATTTACCTTCCGACGATCAGCAAACATCGTCTTATGGAGTAGAGCTTAACGTCAGATAGTGTAACTGTAAGATCAGACAAAGCAGCACAAGAGTGAGTTTTTAGCGAGGTTTTTCATGCTTTTCTTGTATTGTTATGCAGGCCTACTTCTTACAAAGTGTACTCCCTAACAATATGTCTGGTTTTACATTTGCATATATCGTCTAACCTCGTTAATGCTGGT